ATATAAAGAATCACAACATCCATATCTTCCTTTTTAGTACCAGTAGCTCAATACTGTACTATAGTTTTATCGAGCACTTTTCTAAGATTTGAAAATGTTTGACAGTCCAGTTTATACTGAGTAGTAGCATTGTTAAGATTCTGTGTATAATCATTTGAAAATATAATCCAAATCCATAAAACATAATCAAAACAGGTCAGGATTTATAGATTCTGACAGTCTCCCCTACGGCTACATAGCCCAGAGCAAATGAGATATGATTTCAAACATTTGCATATGTTCCCTCAACACTCCTTAAACATCAAACAAGTTTTTTGCATGCCTGGGATGCAACATCTTTTGTTATTATACAGATATCCGCCTCATAGGACCTACATTTTCATATGTTGTGGCCTCAGTATCAGCAGTGGGAGTAGTCCAACCACATTCATGTGGTGATAGAAACTGTGGGTTAGAATGCATCAGAATAACAAATGACTCTACAACTGCAATGTTTCTAAAAAAAGATTCAAAGTTTAAAAACAACTGCAATAGCTCTGGGTATACACCTTCCATTCCTTCAAATCAGATGATTTAGTAGTAGAATGCAAAGGTGACATATCAAATCCAGTGATTGCATGAAAAATTGGGAGGGCTAAACTTTGGTCATGGGCTTTGGTCTTGTAATATTGTGGGCAGGTAGGTATTGGAAGGATTTCCCCTTACCATATGCAATCCAAATTGACATTTTCAGTTTTTCAGCACAAGTTGCCACTAGGATAAACCACATCAAAATCAACTGTTAGGCAATGATTGAAGCAGTCTCTCGTATGGAGAAATATCCTTGATGGCGCCTAAGACATTGCATTACTTGGTCACTATCATCTTGCCATGTTCTTGAGGGTTTCAGTGTTGATGCCTGGAAGGAGGACAGCTCCCTCTTGTTCCCACTACATCTTGGATTGCATTTGGTAAAAGAAAATCCATTTAATAACTATCTGTGCATGATATTGCAAGATCAATTGGCCATGACCAAAGTTAATCCTCCCCATTTTTCATTCAATCATTCTATGCGATATCAAATCTGCATTTAACTACTACTCTAAATAAATCATCTGATTTGGAGGAATGGAAGGTGTACCCAGAGGTGATGCAAGTGTTCTTAAACCTTATATCTTTATATAATACTTCATTGATTTATCATTTTATATCTCAGTATGAATATATGAACATATGAATATGACAAAATGCCATTTTGAGCTTATTTGAGTTGCAAATGTGACATATCTTGAAAATTATTATGGTAAAATGAGGCCACCTATAACCAGTCAAAAGCTAAATCAAAATCTGATCATTTTTCCACCTCCTTAGAAATGATATGACAAAACAAGATTATATACACCATTTCAAGCTCATTTGAGATGCATATATGTAACATACATTGAAAATTATTATCTTAAGTATGGTTACCCCTGGGCTGTCAAAACATCAAATATAAAATTTAGATTATTAGATATTTAGAAATGTCAAATTATGTTTTTATATATTATTAGGGGAAATATGATAACAAGACTTCTGGTATATGAACCACTTTGAGCTCATTTTAGATGCATATGTAATACATTGCAAATTATTATGTTAAAAATATGGTCAAATAGAAAATTCAGATTTTTAAGAAATGTCCAGTAATTTTCTACATCTTATTTGGGGTATGATAAAACAAGACAATATGCACCATTTTGAGCTCCTTTGAGATGCATATATTACATATCTTGAAAATTATTATGCTGAAATGAAAATTTAGAGTTTTAAGAATTATCAATCATTTTTCTACATCTTATTAGGGTTAATATGATAAAGAAAGACTAGATGCACCATATTGAGCTCATTTGAGATGGATATATTACATGTTTTAAAAATTATTAAGGTACAATATGGTTACCCCTGGCCATTCAGAAGCAAAAATGAAAATTAAATTTTAAAAAAATTCCAATCTTTTTTACTTCTAATTAGCAATTTTATGACAAAACAAGACTAGATGCACCTATTGAGCTCATTTGAGATGGATATATTACATATTTTGAAAATTATTAAGGTACAATATGGTTACCCCTGGCCATTCAGAATCGAAAATGAAAATTGGAATTTTTTTTAATTCCAATCTTTTTGGTACATCTAATTATCAATAATATGACAAGACAAGACTAGAAGCACCATTCTGAGCTCATATGAGATGCATACATTGACTATCTTAAAAATTATTGAGGTAAGATAAGGTTACTCCTGAGCCAAATGCACCAAAAAATTGAAATTTCGATAATTTTTTTCTCTGAGAATACATCAGCTACCAAAGCAATATTTTCTATCTGCAATAAACACTTATACTTCTATTACTGTGAATTTTTTTAAGACTATTAGTCATCACATTCTTGAAATACAGTAATGGATGTCACATATTTGGCCCTTTAAATAATGGATTTTTCCTGGATAATTGGGTTAAAATGTATTTTCCTCACTAAATACCACTTCTGAAATGAGTTTTACATCATTTCAAGGCTCAAAGCAATCACCAAATGAAGTCATTTAAACAAAAATACTTTAAAACCATTTTTATTTATTTTTTATAATTTACCCTTCCCCATCTGATAGAGGTGGGGGTCAGAGGTAAAAAAATCCATGAAGACCACCCCCAACCACTTGCCCTGAAATCATTTTCCACTCAAATCATATGTTTCTACAAATGTGCCAAGTTTGTTGCTTTCCTGAAAAAGCCGAACAAAAAAGGGGTTATATCTGGACATCTGACCCCGCTAAATAGTCCCATTCAAATCTAAAACAAGGGCGGGATGTCTAGGAGCAAAATCGTTTCACCTGAATATTAAAACATAGTATTTGCCCATTTAATTCGATTCTTGATAATATTTTTTCTGAAAAGTTACCAATATTCACTATAAAGCAACGATTATCTTTTAGAATCAATATTTATAATGAAGTGTTTTTTTTAGAATTTAAATCTTAATAAAATAGGATTAGTGTCAGAATGAAATGGATTACATTAGAATTTAATAAATGAGAAAAGTTGAAACGATATACTCTTTGATGATCAATGAGTTTTGGCACATATGGACAAACTAGTGACAAAAATTAATCCCAACTTCACATTAACAGATAATCTTGCAACATAAACAAGACAAAATCCAAAAACGAATGAATAGATAGGATTCAACCATTTACTGTGTTCATATATGTAGCAATTGGCCATTTAATTCAAGTCTGGATGATAGTTTTTTTCTGAAAAGATACGAATTTACAATCACGAACGGGGTATCTTTTAGAATCAATATTCTATAATGAAGTGTATTTTTTAAATTTAAATCTTAAATAAAATAAGATTAGTGTCAGAATGAACTGGATTACAAATTACAATTAAAAAAAAGAAATGAAGGAACGGTATACTTTTTTATGATCAATATTTAATCGTGCTGAGTCTTGGCCCATATGGACAAACTAGTGACAAAAACAAATGCCAACTTAATTGACATTAAAAGATAATCTTGCAGCAGAATTAGCAAGACATATAGGTTATTGCAAATAATATCGGACATACAGTAAGTGAAGATGTGATGATTGGATATTGTTCCAGATTATATAAGAATTGCATCATTGACATTAATGTCTTGTTTTTATAACATTTTTGATATAATTACTAATCTCCCTCCTTGATCATGTAAATTACTAAATTAAATAATTTTAGTAATAAAGTAAAATATAAGATTTTATTAGCAAAGTTGTTTTAAAACTGAATGTGTAATTTCAAGTCAATCTGCTATTACACGTTGAAGGTTATTGTTTTGGAAATATTTTGAAGTTATGAAATACTTGTATATGTTTAGGTTCAATTATATCAGGTGACAATAGATTAATTAAATAATACCACCTTTTGAAGTAAGAGTAAAATATAAGCTTGCATTCGCGAATGCAACTAACAGCTAGCGACTACCGGATTAACCTACTATTTTATGACCAATTCATTTCAATATGAATGGAATAGTGGCAGGTACTATTCATGTTCAAATGAGATGCCTATGAAATAGTAGATAAATCTGGCAGCCGACGGCGTTTGTTGCATTTGCGAATACAAGCTAATACTGGTATCATAGTGTATTATATTGCACAAATAATCAAATCGAGTTAATGTAAAAAGGAATTAAAATGTATATATTAAATAGTAAACTAATTAATATGTATAAAAACACCCTTGTTATACACTGCTTTGACCCCTATACTCATAATTGAAATACTAGATCGTATTTATTCTACTCTAATTTAGGTTTATGTTATTCAAGTGCAATTATCTCCACTTATAACACATTTATATTTTATAATAGAATTGACTCCATATTCTGCACATTCTTAGCTATACAACGACACCAAATCTCTGTTCTGCCAAAGGTGAACCTGTTATAAAAATCAGACAATCGTTACTGAACTAAGTTTACATTGTTCCGGTAGTGTTGATTTAATGACTTAATTTGCACAATTACTGTTTACAAGTCATAAATTAAACAAAAATAACTGATAAGGTATATTTAACTCCATTTAAGTACATTAAATACTACCAAATGAGCCACGCCCCTTTCAGAAATATTGAATAATTTGAAAAAGACAAGAGAAAAAACGCCCAACCTACCACATCTGCATATGTGTGGCTTTTGACCAGGACATATCTAACTATCTAAAAATGCAATAAAACATTGTATATACACTAAAACAAGGTTCAGTGATAAATCCTTTGTTTTCATCTAGAATATAAATTGATTGACCGAAGAAAATGTTTCTTTTATTCTTCTTGTTTGGCTTTCTGATTGGAATGTTATTTTAGCTTTTTATTCTAAGAAAGTCATCTGCTTTAAATACGCTGTGAATACAGAAATGAAGGCAGCAGATAGTACATGGTAAGACAAATATTCCAGTCGAAAGTTAACTTGCTACTTACTAGTAACTAGTTACTCTTTTTCCAGTTGAGATGAAGCTCATCGTAGCGATAGTTCTGCTTGTCCTCATTGAAGCTTGTATCTGCGGTCATAAAAGAGGGCGATTTAGGTGGGAGAAGAGAGGCAAAAAAATCTCCAAAAATAGTAGTAGCAAGAAATCCAAACATAAAGACAGTCGACATAGTGGCAGTAGCAGCAGTAGCAGCGAGGAGCGTTAGTAATATGTTATTTATTATTGATAAAGTGAAACTTATGTGATTAATAATGTGTGATTATGTGAAGAATGAACCTTGAGTACTGGGTATTAGGTGAAATAATGTCCAAGGGCTGCATCAAGTAGTATAGTATATTTTTACTTAGATATGTGCGATCAAGTATGCAACGAGGATAGATATTAACAGTCCTATAAAAACAATTTTGAAATTGCATTTACAGTTTGCGACCATCTATTCGCTCCCACAAATGGAACTTTTGAAATTAGCGGCAGAACTCTCGGAGCGCTGGCATTTTTCATATGCGATGAAGGGTTTGTTTTGACTGGAGACCAAATTCGTAGATGTACAGAGACCAGCGGGGGAAACTTGGAATGGAGTGGATCCGATGTAACATGTGAACGTAAGTTTACTGATAATCGTATTTCAAACAACCTACATCCAAATGTGCAACCGTTTTTTGGATTTAAAGATGTTTAATGTTATAATGGAGTTTTTTTATTCATAGAATTTATTTTACAAATACATAACATTCATAAACATTATACATTTGAAGTGGCTTTGCTGAAGGCATTATCAGCCACTCGATTAATAATTGCAGGGTGAAGACAAAAATATAGAATTAAGAATGAACTAAAAAATGATGAAGTGAGCTTGAGGATTTTCAAATTAGTGGATTTTGTTAAGTTTGAATCCCCATAAAGAATGATAAAGAAATAATTCTGCTTTGTCCCTCTTGTGTTTAAAATTAGAATAACAAAATTAAGAAAAGCTTAATTGTTTTCCAACTCTTCTAAGAATGGTGCACGAATAGTAGGCGGGTTAACTACATTTTAGGGGGTCTGAAAATCAAGCTATGATGCAAACGATACATGGACGGACAAGTGAGTGATGGCAAAAGATCACCATCATGACAATGCGAGCAAAGAAAAACACAACAAAACATTGGTTCTTCCATTGAAATTTTGTTTCTGAATTTATGTTTATGTTTTAAATAGCAATCGCGCTTTGTGATGAATTGGAGGCATTATATAATCAACAACGCACCCTTGCTAATAAACCTGGACCAATTTTAGATTTTAGTGAGAAAGATATTGTTTCAAGTGACACTGAATAAAATAGTTGGCAATATGTGAAAGAATTTCAGTCCCGGACTCATGCATTGTTTCCTAGACTTTAATGCCTTGAGTCTTCTTCTCAAATTCTTTAGCATGTGTAATAAAACCATTCGTTATTGTGTTAATCCATTTTACAAATATCTAAGCACGAGAGCCAAAGGGAAAGGACTAAAATTTGTAATAGCAACCTCTAAGTGTATATCCCAATATATCCCAAAACCATGATTTATCGTAAAAGATCTAATACTACCTTTCCTAAGCATTCAAGAACCAATCATTCAAGAACCAATATAACACAATCCAAGACCATAACACCAAGGAATATTTTATTCATCACTGAAGTCGTTACAATACAGTTTGAAGAAAAAAATAGACACTGATAGCCAAAACTTATTACTACTAACATAACATCCAAAGTAGTTAGAGACACAAGTTCCCATAGAAGATATAACATTCAGTCTCAAATGATTTGAGATAGACAAAACCAAGTCTTAAAGTCCATAGGCATTTCCAAGGGTCAACATCTATCCGAAAAGCCGTCGCCATAATTCATAAATAAAGCTACCAAATGGTTCACAAATGAATTTTGCGAGACAAAAATGGCGGCCATTTTGAAAATAGGCGAGCTTTTGAACCAGGAGTAATAGAGGAATTTTCTGTATTGATGTTGAACAGAAATAACTTAAAACGGGAATCCTATAGAGAGCGGTTTTAAAACTCGCAGGCAGACAGCCGGACAAATGAGTGATGGCAAAAGCTTACTATGTGAGCAAAAACACAACAAAACCCTTGTTTATCCATTGAAATTTTGTTTCTGAATTTATGTTTATGTTTCAAATAGCCGTCGCGCTTTGTGATGAATTGGAGGTTCCTGGAAATGGATCCCTTGTCGTCAATAAGAATACAGCATTTCATACAATTGCATTGCATTATATAATCAACAACGAACCAACTCTCATTCACCCGGGCTATTTTTAGATTTAAGTGAAATTGACTACATTAAAATTACAGTTGAGTGAAAATCTATAAAAGATATTATAGGGAATAACAAGCAAGATCCTTATGCAGGTCACGGATATCAAGGTTTTGTACTTCATGTTAGTGTTGATCTTGTTTAATCCTTGCTGAAAGGTTCCTTGCAAATACATTGCTTTAAAAGATATTGAATAAAATAGTTAGCAATATGTCACACCGACTTTATATCCCCGATAACATAATAACATGAAATTTTGGGCGTGGTTCACCATCGTAAAAAGTAGCTCTAATAAGGTAATAATCAAAACCGAGTAATATAAAGCCATTTCGTGACCACCTTGAAATAGCCAATACACTTTGCAATTAACTGGAAGCTCTTGATATATGGATCTCTTGAATAACTAAAAGAACCACAGAATAATAACGGGTATTTTTCTGTTTTTTTCATCAGGAATTGTTTATACTGTGAACAAAATAAATGTAAGTTGTTGATTTGTTAACCTATATTGGCATTTGAAAGGATGTTAATTTGTATTTTGTTCTTTACATAAATGTATATATATATGACCGAATCTACATTTAAATAGTTGTAGACTGTGGCATTCCTCCAGGAAGTAACGGCCTAAATATTTCTTACAATATGACAACACTTGGATCAACGGCATACTTCAGCTGTTCTGCAGGCAAGCTTTTACTAGATGGGGACCCCATAACGTGTCTTCCTAGTGGGGAATGGAGTAGTTCGGCTGCATCTTGTTGTGCAATCAGAGGTGAGATCACTCACTCTTTATTTAATTAAAGTGAACCCTATAACGTGTCTCCCTAGTGGGGAATTGAGTAGTGCGACTGCACATTGTGCAATCAGAGGTGAGATCACTTACTCTTTATTTGATTAAAGTGAACCCTATAATGTGTCTCCCTAGTGAGGAATTGAGTAGTGCGACTGCATCTTGTTGTGCGATCAGAGGTGAGATCACTCACTCTTTATTTGATTAAAGTGAACCCTATAACGTGTCTCCCTAGTGAGGAATTGAGTAGTGCGGCTGTATCTTGTTGTGCAATCAGAGGTGAGATCACTCACTCTTTATTTAATAAAAGGGAACCCTATAACGCGTCTCCCAAGTGGGGAATTGAGTAGTGCGACTGCATATTGTTGTGCAATCAGAGGTGAGATCACTCACTCTTTATTTAATTAAAGGGGACCCTATAACGTCTCTCCCTAGTGGGGAATTGAGTAGTGCGACTGCACATTGTGCAATACAGGTGAGATCACTCACCCTTTATTTAATAAAAGGGGACCCTATAACGTGTCTTCCTAGTGGGGAATTGAGTAGTGCGACTGCATATTGTTGTGCAATCAGAGGTGAGATCACTCACTCTTTATTTAATTAAAGAGGACCCTATAACGTGTCTCCCTAGTGGGGAATTGAGTAATGCGACTGCATATTGTTGTGCAATCAGAGGTGAGATCACTCACTCTTTATTTAATTAAAGGGGACCCTATAACCTGTCTTCCTAGTGGCTAGTGGGGAATGGAGTAGTGCGACTGCTTCTTGTTGTGCAATCAGAGGTGAGATCACTCACTCTTTATTTAATTAAAGAGGACCCTATAACCTGTCTTCCTAGTGGCTAGTGGGGAATGGAGTAGTGCGACTGCTTCTTGTTGTGCATTCAGAGGTGAGATCACTCACTCTTGATTTAATTAAAGGGGACCCTATAACCTGTCTTCCTAGTGGCTAGTGGGGAATGGAGTAGTGCGACTGCTTCTTGTTGTGCATTCAGAGGTGAGATCACTCACTCTTGATTTAATTAAAGGGGACCCTATAACGTCTCTCCCTAGTGGGGAATTGAGTAGTGCGACTGCACATTGTGCAATAACAGGTGAGATCACTCACCCTTTATTTAATAAAAGGGGACCCTATAACGTGTCTTCCTAGTAGGGAATTGAGTAGTGCGACTGCATATTGTTGTGCAATCAGAGGTGAGATCACTCACTCTTTATTTAATTAAAGAGGACCCTATAACCTGTCTTCCTAGTGGCTAGTGGGGAATGGAGTAGTGCGACTGCTTCTTGTTGTGCATTCAGAGGTGAGATCACTCACTCTTGATTTAATTAAAGGGGACCCTATAACGTGTCTTCCTAGTGGGGAATACTAGAGAAGTGCGGCTGCTTCTTGTTGTGCGATCAGAGGTGAGATCACTCACTCTTTATTTAATAAAAGGGGACCCTATAACGTGTCTTTCTAGTGGCTAGTGGGGAATGGAGTAGTGCGACTGCTTCTTGTTGTGCATTCAGAGGTGAGATCACTCACTCTTTATTTAATTAAAGGGGACCCTATAACCTGTCTTCGTAGTGGCTAGTGGGGAATGGAGTAGTGCGACTGCTTCTTGTTGTGCATTCAGAGGTGAGATCACTCACTCTTGATTTAATTAAAGGGGACCCTATAACGTGTCTTCCTAATGGAGAAGTGCGGCTGCATCTTGTTGTGCGATCAGAGGTGAGATCACTCACCTTTTATTTAATAAAAGGGGACCCTATAACGTGTCTTCCTAATGGAGAATGGAGTAGTGCGACTGCACATTGTGCAATCAGAGGTGAGATCACTCACTATTTAATTAAAGGGGACCCTATAATGTGTCTTCCTAGTGGAGAATGGAGTAGCGCCACCGCATCTTGTCTTCCACTAGAAAATTCAGTTTATGTTATGCTGGATTGAAATTCAACCGAATCTTGCTTGCGCAAAAAACCACGTGGCAAACCTTTTACATACTAAAGGGACAATGTCGCCTAGGTCTGTCTCCCAGACAATCATTGACACTGTTCTATAACTAGTTATTTGACGGAGGGAGCGTCACTGTAACAAAATGGATGAGCTTCCTGGATACGAGTTTTTTGTTTTCTCGATTTAAACTTACGTATAAGTCATGTTGCAGATTATCATTTGGCACAAAGTTAGACCATAAAGTCTAGTTTTGAAAAATGCTCTCAGTTTGGAATTGGATTTTTAAATAAAGCTGCATTTCGTGCATTTAGACCATCGCTTTTGTAACATTGACGTAAGTCGTCAAAGTAACATACATTGGTACACTGATTGGTAATAAAACGGACTTTCGTCAATGTAACAAAAGCGAATGAGAGACTCGTAACCAGGAAGTTCATTTTGTTACATTGACGTTACGTCAAATTAAGTTGTTGTGGAACAGTGATTGAAGTCGAACTATAATTGCTCATATAATATCTTTCATACCTAAGATATATCTTGAGAACATATTGAAGGCACAGTATCACCGATATATTGAGAAAATCAACAGAACAACCAACTGTCGGATAATACACAATAAGTCCAAATCAACAAACAACTGTTTAAGCTTAATCTATATTATGAAACCCTTGAAAGTAATAACCAAGTGTTATGTGGAAAGATAACCAAAAATGTGTTGTGGTTCAAAAACAAAAAAAGAAATTTCAATTTCATTTAGATATCTGTAATTTAATATCTGTAAACAATCATCAAACTAATCACATTATGAATTAGTTGAGGCCTCAAAGTTTGTATTAGATAGACCAATTCCTTATAAATACAGCCAAAGCATCAAGGGGCTACTCTAATTGTGCTTTTATCAGACACTGTACCTTTTATATTGATGATGCTATTGAGACAATCGATACGGTGGGGCCACCAAACATTTCATATACGGGGTGGTCCAAAAACAATTGGAACATTTGTTAATTGAATGGAAAACCTTTATTTTTCTTCTAAAATGCACCAAACTTTTACTGAGCATAGTTCAGTCACTTATTTATCTGATGTAAAGTTTATAGGTGAAAACCACAAAGTTAATGCATTAAACTAGTCAATGTTTGATATGACCCCTCTTCTCCTGACTTACAAGTTGAAGCCTGGGGCTTAGATTTGTAAATACTCAATTAGTTTACTGTTCATTTGTTTTGTCCAAGCCATCTTCATTAAAAATTCAGCTTGATCAAACTTCCTATTTGTTTGCCTTGGAAGATCAAATCTAGTAGCATATTCAAAAAGTTTTACCCAAATTCATGGGATCAAGCATATTTTGATGGCTATTGTTGAGTGTATTACTGATTGAATATTCTCCAGAAAGAGGCCAGGACTGTCTGATTTGACTGGTAAATGAAGCCCCTTCCCCTTTATTGTTCTGATATGAATAATATTCATTGGGAATATCAATATGTCTATCAATATCATAGAGGAGTCTCCCAGAACACAAATGGTATATATATTGTCACATGTTATAATTGATTTATGTTTTATTGTTTCAAATAAGTGCAGTTTACCTTATCCTTTGAGTGAATTTAAATTGTCCATAGTCCTTTATGTAGAAATTAACAGTTGATTAGTTTTACTGTACTTTAATCCTTTGACATAAACTCATGTTGTTACACTGAGTAGAGTATAGAGTAATATAGTGACCTAGCTGAGTTATGAAACCAAGAGAGCAGACTGAGTGAGATGTGAAAGTGAAGGAAGAAACCTTTTCAACAAGTTTAGGAGAACTGTGGATTTTGCAAATATGAAAAACTTATATACATCTTCATGTGTAGAATGGAACACTATGAACATATCAGTTATCTGGAATAACCTTTTGATGTCGTGCCACGTATATATTTATGTCGTATGTTGAGACTGTCATCTGTGTATTAGTGCATATGGAGAGCGATTCGAACATCCTGCATTTGTGTTGTACTTAGCTATGGGATACACGCACCCTTAGTTTTCCACTGACGGAATAGTGGATCACTGTGTTTGTGTTAGGTATTGCGTAGGATGAGGATTCCTGCCATACTTGTGAAGCCGTGTAGCTCCGTGGGAGTACTTTAAAGCTTGTGACGTAATACAAGTTTTGTGTTGTGGATAACCGAAGAAATCTATGTGTAACATTTACTTCGTTTGTGACTGGATTTGTGTACAAGGCATTTATTTCCTTTTATGGATTAAACTATATGTGTCTGACTTAATGGATATAATACCGTCTTTAGGTTCCAGGACTGTAGTTGTGGTGTTATATAACCACTTATATGTTTTTATCAAGATATTCACCTTTTATTCCTTCACCTTGTGATTTTTAATATATTTTTAATTCTCAATAGAATATAAAATTAATTTTCTTACATTAAAATGTGATATCTGTTATCTTTTTATTGAAAAGAACCTTTACTCCGTGACATATATTATACACTGTATATGTGCTTAGCATTGGTTTTTAATAAAACTTTGTGAATAACTGGTCAGTTTTGCCTTTACTGAAAAGTGGGAACAATTCTTTTGTCACTTGAGTAGCTGAGAGGGTTATGCAATCGCTCACCATTGACATGTTCCTTCTTCCCTACTCTTAAATGAAAATGATAATTTTGGGTATTGTTTAAGTTTAAGTTAACACAATATTTTTCTGGCAAACCCCAGATGTAAATACCCTTTGTCAACTGAATATGATTTTATAAAATATTTATACCAATTAACATGTGCTTTGAAATAAATAATACTTGAAAAAGTAGCCGCGAAATTGACAGGTGTATATTTACAAAAAGGGGGTCCTATCAAAGATTGACTAGTTAAATGCGTTAACTTTTTGGTTTTCACCTATAAACATCAGATAAATAAGTGATTGAACTATGCTCAGTAAAAGTTTTGTACATTTTAGAAGAAAAATAAAGGTTTTGTGTTCAATTAACAAATGTTCCAATTTTTTTGGACCACCCTGTATATGTTGCACAAGAAACATTTAAAGAAATCTAGTACTAGTTGAGATGATTTGTGTTGTGTTGACTTTTGGTTGAGGTTGTTACGCGGCAAACACGATACAAATATATGTAATATTCCGCAACGAATATGGCTTATTCACTTGCGAAGTGTGACATATTCACCTGCGGTATATGGCATACTCACTAACCAATGAGAACAGAAAACGGAAGTACGTAATTGTCAATTACATTGATTGAATGATCAGGCAAAGGGTATAATGATTGCTGAATCTACAGGTCAGTGCATTGGATATATCAACTAATACAATTGAATAAATACACCAGTGGTGCCTGTATTGTTTGATGTCGTTTTATGTCTTACACGCAAAGAAACACTTCAAAGGAAACATTATTGCGCATAACAGTCGACAAAGACCTACAAAACCACTAGTATTTTTATATTTTTGTATTGGCAATCACGATTTACACATTTCTGATACTTTCAGAAGCACCATTCTGCAATTAAACAATTAACTTATTTAATCTACCCAGGATTTATATATTAGTACTCAAAACGATAACAAAATTGGTCATCCAGCGTAGTTTTACATTTGAGAGTCGATTATTTTGAACAATCAAATCGAGGCTTTCTGTTTCCGTTTCGCGTTTTCACCTGAGGTATATTACATACTCCGTGGGTGAGTATGACATATCCCGCAGGTGAGTATGGCATATTCCGCATGTGAGTATCGGGTATTCACTGAAATCAATGTATCGAATATTCACTGCGGAATATGCCATACTCACCTTCGGAATATGTTATACACCGTAGCTGGTGAGTATGGCATGTATCACAAATACCGCACAACCATGAATATATTCCATATTTCGCCTAACAGTTGAGATTTTCATCAATCTTATTATTCATGATGCAAACATTGAACACTTTACCATAGTTAACATGGCCTTGTAGACTACATTTACTATATGCCAATGGATGGGAAACGAGATGATATTTTGGAGGGCGAGTGCCCCAATGGTAGAATCTACAACAACGCCACCCTCGATGATGGCCAGGTTGACCAAGGAATATATTTAGATGGAATTGATCAATGGGTTGATCTTGGAAATCACAGACACGAATGTTTTGGTATATTTTATTTCATCAGTTATGGACCCCCGTGAATATGGTGGTGATTTGCATTTTTCTTTTTTTGACATTTAGTTACAGCAAAACACCTTATCAAAGTCAAAATTTAAAAAAGCAAACCGAGCTCACATTTATGGGGGTACAGTCGTGATAGTTAGCATGTGCAACTGTGACAACTACAGTGTAAATTCACAACATGGGAATTATTTTCTTGGTCGGAGTAATATATATCAATGTGCTCAAGGATGTCCCAGGGACTCAATTACGACACAATTCCTAATTCTTTCATAGGTGAATCGTGTTTCCATTGTCATTCGCGTAGTCATGCATGAAACTTTTTTGAGGTAGACTTTTCTTTATTTAAATTGTTAAATAAATCATATCTCTGGATAGAGGTCCATAAATAAAGTTTTATCATTGTTTAATTTCAGTTTATCCTTACTAAATTATCCTATTCATCTTCAAATAGATTCTGGCCACGCCTATGACTCTATTTTGATTTCAGGTGATTTAGAGCTTTGTCCAAATGGTTATACACTTTCTATGTGGCTTTACATCGGACCAAAGGTGGCCAATGAGATGTATTATTTCTCCAGCGGTGGACAGACGGGATCTTCGTTTGGAGTAGCCCTATTTTGGTTAGCGGGAAATTTAGGTTCGTGGTTTAGCACCAGGACTGAAATTTGGAAAGTGAGCTATCCTGGGGCGACACTGAGAGAGCAATGGCGGCACATTGTGCTCACGTGGAAACAAGATGAAGGGCTCAAGTTATGGATAGACTGTGTAAACGTTGAATCGGATACAATGTGTATGTAATCATTGCATATTAAACTTAACAATTATTTCTTAAACGTTGAATCGGATACAATGTGTATCCGGTATGTAATCGTTGCATATTTAACTTAACAAATATTTTTAATTCAAGTAGATTAGCAGCCCTCACTCTTTTCAATGAAGGTTACATAATTCGGAATTTAGAGCGCATGGTCTTTGAAGGATATCTTAAATCATAAACAAGTGATAAACTGAAATGAATTATTGGCGACGATGATACAGGATAGGAATCTTGGTGGACAAGATAGTTGATATATTATATTAACAAAATACTGCTGAAAAGAATGTTCTTATTTGAATGTTTTTAATTCAATTTTAGTTGTACTTTAGTTAAATGCAGTGCCACTGATATAAATAGTGGAGATTCTTCAAAAATAAATAAATAATTAGATAAAAATATACATCATTGCTAAAACATCTGGAATATCGACTCTTTGCCAAAAATTGCAAACGTTAGATTGGATGAAAGAATGTAAATATGATTTCCGATTTTAGCAGAGACACGGAATGTACCAAACACCCCATGGAACAACGTTGTGTTAGGGAGACCGAACAAAAACTTTGCAAAATTCGGAGAGGCTATCATCGATGAACTTATCTTCTGGGATAAGAAACTACCAGATGAGAGGATCGAGGACCTCTGCGTGGCCTATGACGCCGACCCAAATTCAACTCTTAGTTGCCCTACGATTTTGCCTTTTGTTTTGTAGATCGATCCTATGAAAACATTCAGGAAAGGGCGAGTTGTTTCTTGAAATGTTTTGGAAATATAATTACCACTTGCAAAACTAAAATTGTGGCATTTTGTTATTTACAATATTATAACTAAAAACTACAATAGTTTGGGCTAAAACGGTTTATTAAACGGTTTATTAAACGTGAAACTAATATCTCAAATACAGGGTGGGCCAAAAAAAAACAATACCCAACTTTAAATCAGACTGAAAATAGCTATGTTCAATATGATACATTGATTTATATATCATTTTAAAGGTAATCCATTTTCGAACAATATGAAATCGATATTAAAGTTTTATTATGCTTATTTGGGAGGCCGGGTCGGTATTTATGGAGAAAATAGTAAATCTGCGGAATAATGTTAATTTTTTATTTATAGAATATCATTTTGTTAGGTGAATAAATGCTTGTATATTTGCATATTGTGTGACTAAACTTATTGTTTATGAATTTTAGTGTTGTTTATTATCAATATGTACTCAAATGGGGTCTGTTAAAAGACATTAAACGTATATGTGACGAGAATTTTATTTTCCAACAAGATATAGCCCCGTACCATAGATCTCAGGAGACATTGGCATTCCTTTGCAAACAAGGTGTCAATTTGATTGATCTCGATGCTTGGCCACCCAACAGCCCCGATGCTACATGTAATGTGTTTGATTACCATACATGGAGCCATCTCGAGGAAATGGTACAATCAAAAGCATCCAATAAACAGCTTTGATGAGCTGAAACAGAATCCTAAAGTGCTGAAATGCCGTTGCAACAGAAATCTCTCAATAAGGCTATTGATAGATTGCGCTACCACTTGAAGCTTATTGTTGATGCATAGGGGAGGGGGTGGGGGTATATTGAGCAACTGTGAAAATTGTTTAAATAAATAAAGTGTAAAATGTTATTAAACAACACTGAAAAGACGTCATTTCCATTGTTCTTTCGGCAAAATCGCGTAGTAATCTACGGTGATCAGTCCATTTAAATTTCACGCTTTTGAACGTCATGGTGTATACATGCATTTCTAATCGATCATATCTCAGTCAATATTTATCATTATATTATAAATTTGATAATTAATGAAAGCTTATAACCAGGGCATTACGTATGTGAATTTATTATTTTGGTCAGATAAAATACCAACCAGTTACGGGTGCTAAAGTTTTGACATATTTTTCATTAAAAATGCAGAAATGTGTATCATTTTCGCGGGTTAAATAGGCTATTAAAACAAGTCGGGTTAAAAAATGTTTTTCACTCATCATTTAGCCCACATCGAGCTCTTTCCAATGGTATAATTGTTTTTTTCTGAAACCCCTGAAGACAAATTTCTGCCAACTTTCTGTAACGACGAGTGAAAAATCATGGTTTTTCCCGCAAACCAATGACGTCGTATTTCTCGATTTTCATACCAAGATTAGATTTGATACGCGTATGATATTTGTTCACGGTCATATCTCGGTCAATATTCGTCATTGAATGATCATTTTTATAGTTAATGAAAGCTTATTACAAGGGCAATGCGCATATGGATAAGTTATTTTGACCCGATTAAATACCACCCAGCTACGGGTACAAACGTGTAGAACATTTTTTCACAGAAATTCACTGAAAATGCACAAATGTGTATCACATTCGCGCGTTAATTGGGCTATTAAATCTCGTTGAGTTAAAAAATGTTTTTCGCTCTACATTTAGCCCACAATGAGCTCTCTCCAATGGTACGATTGTTTTTTCTGAAACCTCTGAAGACAAATTTCTGCCAACTTTCTGTAACGACGAGTGAAAAATCATGGTTTTTACCGCAAACCAATGACGACGTCGTATTTCTCGATTTTTAAACCAAGATTAGATTTGATACGCGTATGTATTTGTTCATGACCATATCTCGGTCAATATGCATTAATGATTCAGTATGAATCTAATACAACATAAAAGAGTATCACAAGCACATCACATTGATGGACTTATTACATATGATCCGATGGAATGCAGCCAATAAAACCAGGTTACGTGTTACCGTTCTTCACGCCAAATGCGTAAATGTGACTCGTTTTAGCGCATTAATTGAAGCATGGTTGGACATCAGTAAGAATTCTTTTCCAACTTTGAAGTGAACAATGAAAGTCAAAATACCCGGCTTTTAATTTTACGTTGTGAGGTCGGCGGCCGTCTCTATTTCTCGATTTGTCGAATGAGGGAATTCATTGTATAAATGTGCAAACATTGCTCGCTCTGTATTTAAATTGATTTTATATCAAGACCGGACACCGGATATCACGACGATGAATAAATTTTCGAAGGCATGTTTTATTCGAAAATGATCAGCTCACGTATACATATTCATTTATAGCATAATGACCCCTGTTTAGTCTCAGATGAGCTGTGAATGCCTTCTATGCCCGGCTTCAATTCAACAATTCTGCCGACGCCCCTAAGTCAACACGCTATTAAAATTCATCCAATAAAACCGCTATCAGGCTATGCAGATATAAATTTTCGAAAACACTATCTCGACAGATTGGTTTTAAAAAACATTGTACTGGTAATTTCAGCATTATGTTCCGAGGAGCCACTCACCTAATAGCGATAATTTGTAAATTGTGCATCCTCAGTCTGTCAGTCGCTTAGCGTATGGATCAGTGACGCTGACCGCATATTGCACCTTTTATAATTTGTAGCAGTTTGCACAACGTCGACGTGCAACTAGTTGGTGCAAGGAGGGTTGACTCCAAGAATTTCATTTTTGGAATATTTCGATAGGAAATAAGACCAAAATACACGATCCTAATGTTGAAGTGACCAAATGGCGGCTGTTGGAATTCGAATTTTGAAGCACATTCCCATATATGAGACAGAATATGGATATTGCACTCTGGGAGGCAATCTTCCTTGCCCTTAGGAAAATCAATAGTACATCGACTTTATTTATTTAATAATTGAAAGGAAGTGAAGTTAACGAAATATTCGAATACAATACATACTGCCGAAAAAGCACATTTATTTCGTGGGTATTTAAAGGACCGCGAGTTGTTTGTAGAATGAATCTAGGGAGCTTGTTCATGCATTCGACTTGTGTTTTTCATCTAAAAAACATCAATACACTTTAAACCACTATGTTACAATACTTGGGTGTTAATCCATAGATAATTCTTGAAAATGAGATATTTTTGGGGATTATATGGTGCAATCTTAAAGTCAATTAAATGTTTTAAAGTGTATCATTCTACAAACAACTCACGGTCCTTTACCCTACAAAACTCCCCTACCCTTCCGTGTTTTCCTGACGTTTTCACGAATCTTCCCTGTTCCACCTAACAAGACTATTTTCCCCCATTGCTATACCCGTATACTGGTATACTGCCCATAGATATGTGCACAGGAGTTTCACACGGAAAATGAACTTATTTTAGGAAATATTGTGGAAAAAATTATACGAAGTAAATAATTTCTCAACAATATAAGCTGACCGTTGAATGCAATTATTCATTTATTTCATTTCATCAATACTAGTAATCATAAAATCATGACGCTGACATGCCAGCATGCTGACATGGTTTTAATTCTAAAAATTAAGATAAAGTGCAGTTATATAGTACCAAATAATATTCATTCATAATACTGTAATATGCTAGGCTATGGAACAAATACTCAGTAATATGTCTTTTGTGGAGATCAATTCTGAAAAAGAGGGGTGGACCCCCAGAGCTTTAGCGATGACTGATATATTAGTCTCCTGCCTACCACCTACCATGAGTCTGGGTATCGACTTAGGAAATATTGAAAATTGTAATGTCTGATAAACCAACTCAATCACACATATTATTAAACTTCAATATCTTATCCTTCTATTCTGAGATTACAAAAATATCAATTTGTATCACAATTGATGAAGAATATTGGCATCAAAGACAAATCAATGGCAAATATTAAATGAATTATTTATACAAAAACTTTGAAACATATCCTCCAAAATATTGCGTACTTTCTTTGTATAGACATTGAATGGTATTTCTGGATAAGTGAATTGGTGTTTATCTGGGTAATCAAGGGATTATAGTCACTCAAAGTTACTGAGCATCCATTTTTGAGACTTCAATTGTGTTAGTGAAGGACGATTCTCGGTTTGGACTTTGGAGAACAGTCTCTTGGGCTAATAATTTTTTTTAATGAAAAATATAGAAATATTACCCAAATTAAACTATGAATATTCAAAAGAGGACATTTAAATCTACAAGATGTAAAAATAACAAATTGGTCTGAAGGGAAAGAAGTTCATCAGTGTACTGCGCTAATATTTTTTTGCGAAAAATCTAGAAATATTACCCAAATTAAATTATGACTATTCAAAAGAGGACATTTAAATCTATATTATGTAAAAAATCAAATTTGTCTGAAGCAGGGATAATGCTCATTTAGATTGATGAACTTCGTTCTCCAAACCGAGAATCGTCCTTTACACATATTTCAGTCAAATTCATGCTGAGCACAACATTTTGGTTTCAATATTATAATCTCTATACATGACCCTGGTGATGAAGATTCAGAATCAGTCAAAAAAACCTAAACCGGAAAACTATGCTCATTGTGCAAAACTAAAAGTGAAGCAACTTTTTTCTGATATTTCTTACATCAAATGGCAGCCATCTTGTTTTTCACCCTTCAAATTAAACTGGCGGGAAATTCAAAAATTTGAAAAATATTTTAATCCTAAAATACATTTCAAAAATATGATTTTCTTTTTAATTCTTCATGGGTCTTAACTTATTTCTCCTTTGTATGTCATACATGTTGCCATTGGTGTTTTTTCTATGATAATGACCCTCTTTATTTGTTCAGATACTTATTCTGACTCTCAGCAGGGGGTTAATTTTGCATCAAAACTCGTGAAAATGTAAATATACTTATCAAATATAACTAGGACAGTAATAAAAACCATATTTCACATACATTTGACTGAGGGACCAAAAGGGCATATATCCGGACACATCCTTCTCACGAGTTAGTTTTCTAATATTACACGTCATCGTGA